TAAGTTTCATGTCTCGGGAAATTTAATAACAAATTAAAGAATGTAGCATATGTACTGGACACCCAAAGCAGATCATTTTGCAAACACTCCACATTATTTTCAGGAAATTAAATTAGTAATAATAATGGCCAGAAAATAAAAATAAAATTGTAATGCCCAATGACGTTACTGTTCAGTGTAGAAATGACCCCAACTTTGGAGAAATGACCCCTTATATTAAATAAATGACCCCTTACATTGCTGCCTTACATTGGAGAAATGCCCCTTAGTCAGTGAAAAAGTGTCTTCTTACATTGGCCATCAGTTTGGTGGTTCCTTACATGGGTGGCCAGTGGAAGAAGGACCCCCTTATATTGGAGGTCGGTGGGAAGAATGCCACCTTACAGACTGCTAAAAAGATGATTGGTGCCAGTGATCACAGAGAGACAGACATTGCTCTTTGCTCAAGTAACAACTACCAACCTTAAGGTTCCACAGAACTGTGGTTGGGAAAGGCTGGCTTGGAGTATGTTAATTTTGTTTATTTAAATACACTTTAAAGTAATTCTAAAGGCTTATTTAAAAAAAAAAAACAAACAAACATGTCTATGGTTTTGCACAAAGCAGCCCAAATCCATCTCTTCTCGGGTTCCCGCCGGAGCTCCTGGTCCCTCCCTCCTGTCGGGTGCCTCCACAGCAAGCAGCCTGCTATGGAGGCACCCACTGCTCCGTGTATCCATTCACATGTGGAGCTGCAGCTCAGCCCTGCCCCCTCTCTCTTCTCATTGGCTCACTGGCTGTGATTGACATAGAATGCCTGAAGGTAAAACACCTTGAGCCTTTAGAACCACTTTAAAGACTAGTGAAAATAATTTATGGTCAAAGCCTCTATCATTACTTTCCTTTTAGTTTTTATGCATGGTACCTTGTAACTAGCCACTTTACCACCTGCAGTGGGATTTTAGGGTTGGGTTTTATACTAATATTATGAATGTTGGTATATGTATAGGAACAACCTTCAGTTCTCCATATGACATATTCCCCAATTACCAAGGTGGGAGACAAGGGCTCTAGTGCTATTTTGGGGGAAGCAGTGATGATTTAAGGGATGCTGAAACATCTTGTGGTACATCCTGTTCATTGCTAGTCTAAATGTTTTATCTCCTATATACATTCATTTTGAATAAAATCTTGTTATTTTATTAGCTATGGCATCCATTAAATGTAATATGTTATGTGAGTTTACATGACTTTGGCAGATCTGCAAACAAATACACATAGCAGAAGAAATGCCCTGTTTGTTCTGTATTTGTACACAGAAGAGACATAATATGTGTAAAAATAGTGTACAGAGGAAGCTAGTTAATAGTAGCACACAGCTTTTCTAAAATTAAAAAAGAAATCCCCAAACATGGTAGGCGGTGTCAACCAAAATCTATCAGTAAACCACAAAGACTTCCTCAGGAAACACTCTGTACTTGCTTGAAACAATAATCCCTATACACTTCCTTCATTATGTATAATCTGCAGTTTTGCAAAGCTGAGCTATTTTCTATTGTGCTTCTCTACGGTTTAACATGGCAACTAAAGATAGCAAGCGGTACAAAAGATAAAACAATGCATTACAAAAGAAAATGAAAAAGGAAACTTTTTACAAAAATGGATAAGAAACCAAAACAGTTTTATTTAACTGTACCAACTTTATTCCTTCTAAAAAATCTAGTTTGCAAAGTGCTAGCAGATATTTAAAGGAAACCTTTCAGAATGGAGATATGGGAGTTGCAAAAACAGCTGGTTTCTTAAGGTGCATACTTCACACCTGTCATACCTATCCTTCTTTGACTAGCATTAGTAAACATGCAGGTATAATTTCTCCCTGATTATGGTGGCATCCCACATTCCCCAGTAAATACACATATCCTCAAAACAGCAATTTAAAGTTCAGGCTATTTAGCTTTTCTTATGTGTAGCACCCTCCTAGTATACAGTAGGTGCTAGAATGTACAGTATATAGCTAGATTAATGTAGTTTGCTCTTCTGCCTAACAGGGGAGCTAATAGGTAAATTGATCCTTGGCATTCTGCCTGCTGCAATCTATTAGTCAGGACTGTTCCTGGTGCTGTGGTGCTGTTTACGTTTGCCTAGAACTCCTCCTGCCATTTGGAAACCACTAGAGCTTTCCAGAACATAGGTGGGAGCTAGACAAATGAACAACATAAATATGAATACAGCTCTGGCCAATTACAGAGGAGGGTGGTCCCACTGCATGCTGGAAGCTGTTATTTATATTTTGGGAGCACATGGGCTCAGGGTCCATCCCAGAGTAGATTGCATCAAGCCAGGGTTGAGGCAGGCCTGTTTCCGCTGGCAACTGCTGCCAAGAGGCCTCAGGTGAGCAACCTGAGGGCCTGAAAATGGAACTAAAGAGTGGCCCTGGTTCTCCTTAGCTGACTGAGAGGGAGTTCGCTGAAGATCTGTCTGGTAACACTAAGAGAGGCTGCAGGTTGCTCTTTAACCAGTTGCCGACCGCAGATAGCCGAATGATGGCTGCACTGCGGCCAGCCAGTTCTGGGAGGGCTTCATATAGCGTCCTTCCAGAACACGCTCTCCTGCGCGCCCCCTGCGCGTCCTACAGACAAAGCTGATCCTGTGATGTGGTAAAAGGCCAATCACAGCGGCCTTTTACCACGTAGAAATATAATAGAAACAAAGAAACTTTTTTGTTTTGTTTTTTTAATTTATTGCACTTTTTTTGTTCATAGCACAAGAAGTAAAACACCCAGCGACGATTAAATACCACCAAAAGAAAGCTCTATTTATGTGAAAAAAATGCTAAAAATATCATATGGGTACAATCTTGCATGACCGCGCAACTGTCATTCAAAGTGCAACAGCGCTGAAACCTGAAAATTGGCTTGGTAAGGAAGCGGGTATAAGTGCCTGGTAGGCAAGTGGTTAAAGGCCTGTGAGTACAGACATCTGTGGGATCTCAGGGACTAGTCCTGGTAACCCCCCTCTGCTGTCCTCTAGTGAGCTAAAGGGCCTAGCTAAAGAGATCACTGGCTAGTGATCCAAAAAGCCATGTCTACCTGCCACTTACTGCAAGGGAATTTGCTCAAGCTTCAGGAAAAGTTTACTATCTGCTCCCAGCAGGGGTGGACTGACCATTTTGAAACTTGGGCGCTGCCCGAGGGCCCGGGGTCAGTAGGGGGCCCCATGAGATGCCCCTGGTACCTTTTTCATAAGCTTTTTTGAGTTTGGGCAAGGACACAGGATCCCCATGATCCCCTATTGCCCGGGGGCCTCATGAGTTGTCAGTCTGCCCCTGGCTCCCAGCAAGGGACTTCACCTAAGGCTCCATCTTAGGACAACTAGTGTCCTCAAGTTGTGCATAGTTTTGTTTTAGTGTATCCAACTGCAACCCCCTAACCCTATCCAAGTTCCTCTAAAACTACTAACCAACACCCCTAGACTAGTCTTTGACTCCAAGGAGCTAAAAGTGTAGCCACCTGGCTGCAGAAAAATGCCTTGTGCCTGGCTGTCAGCATAGTAGTGGGGAATACTCAGGCAATAGTCAAGCAGCTCCTACAGGGGTAGTGCTACATATAATATTCTGATCCATTTTACATTTTTTTTTTAGTGAAAAGAAAGAAAATGATAAACAGTTTGGCGTTACAGTCAGTTAGAATACAAATGGCATGGATACTGCTTGCCCTTACTAATGCAAATTTAACGATAATATCTACAAATCTTCAGCTTGTTCAGTCAAGCTTTGGCAATAAAACCTGGAAACTCATTGGCTTCTATGCAGAGCTGCACCAGATTTTGCACCATGCAGTAAATAACTCCTCTTTCTCACCCTGCTCTGCACATGCTTAGTTGCTCTCTATTTTTCGGCACAGTACCAAAAATGCAGAGGCTGATCTGCTTACAGACTAAAGACTTATGCTGCTCAGAGGCTCTGGGCTTCAACAAAATGACAGCCTCCAGCAAGAAGAAACATGAACAATGCTGGAGACAATTTACAGCACGCACTCATTTTAGTAGCCCATTTAGTAGTCCTCATGCACACTGAACATTTTTACAGCTGCTGTTTTTGGTATTTGACGTTTTTTTCTACAGCCAGTAAACTCCCCAGCATGTGATCCTATGTGTCCATGCACACACATAGACTGTAATCAATGTTTTTTTGGCAGGAAAAAACACCTAGGACTAGTGGGTTTCTAGAGGAGTTTTTTAGCTGTAAAAACGCTCTAAAGCTGAAAAACACATCGAAACACAGTAAAATGCGGAAAATCACGGCAAAACCAGCATTTTTGGACTCTAAAAAAAACGCAAACGTGAAAAAAAGTGTTAAAACGCTGCTAAATGCTAATATAAAAATGCTAAAAAACACTGAAAAAACACAGCTAACGTTACCAGCGTTATTAAAACAGCCAGTGTGCATGGAGCCTTAATGCAGAATGTTTGTTCCTTGCTAAAGAACATTATTTTTTATCAAGTTGTTATAGGTAAAGTTCCGCTTTAAGCCTAGGTGTACTATACAACATGTCCTATATCCAACACAAGTTTTTACTATACTTTAAAGAGAATTTTTTTTGGGGGAGTTTTGGAGAGTGGGGAATATTTTGAAGCTCTATCTGGTTTTATTCCTATTTACCTGTTAGGGACATTTACATGCACTTCCTCTCCAAGTGACAAGTTTCTTCAGTTTAACCGCTAGCCTACAGGGCACTTATACCCCCTTCCTGCCCAGGCCAATTTCCAGCTTTCAGCGCTGTCACACTTTGAATGACAATTGCGCGGTCATGCAACATTGTACCCATATGAAATTTTTATCATTTTTTTGTGACAGATAGAGCTTTCTTTTGGTGGTATTTAATCACCTCTGGGATTTTATTTTTTCTTAAACAAACCAAAAACCACTGAAAATTTTGAAAAAAAAAAGTTTTTTCTTAGTTTTTGTTATACAATTTTGTAAATAAGTGATTTTTCTCCTTCACTGATGTGAGCTAATGAGGCTGCAGTGATGGGCACTTATAGGCTGCACTGATGGACACTGGTAGGTTGCACTGATGGGCATTGACAGGCATCACTGATGGGCACTGAAAGGCAGCACTGATACATGACACTGATATATGGCACTGATAGGCAGCACTGATAGGCGGCACTGACTGACACTGTTAGACAGCACTGACTGGCACTGTTAGGCGGCACTGACTGGCACTGATAGGCGGCACTGACTGGCACTGATAGGCGACACTGACTGGCACTGATAGGTGGCACTGACTGGCAGCACTGATATGTGGCACTGATTGGCATTGATAGGTGGCACTGACTGGCACTGATGGGTGACATTGAAAAGCAGCTCAGATGGGCACTGATATGTGGCATTGATGTGCACTGGTATGCAGTGATATGTGGCACTGATGGGCACGTGTCACTGATGGGCACTGGCACTGATGAGCACTGACAGGTGGCACTTCTGGGGCCACACTGATCATCAGGGCACACTGATCATCAGTGCCCTGATGATCAGTGTACATGTCCCCTCCGCAGAAAGCCGATTACCGGCTCTCCTCTCGAGCTGTCAGCGTGACAGCTCGAGAGGAGAGAAATGCAGATAACCGGCATTTCTGTGTTTACATGTGATCAGCTGTGACACAGCGGACCGGCGATCACCGTGCTCCCTGAGCCACGCATGTGCAGTGAGAATGGTAGGACGTCCTATCAGAACGAGAGAACCACCTTGCGCCCATCATTGTACTATAGGGTGGGCGGAAGGTGGTTAAAGATAAGGGGAAATCTCTCTGACAGGCAATCAACTGCAAAAAAAAAAAATGTATTAATATAGTGGGGTAATACTATAACCTTCATCATTTCCACTTGTCTGTAGACACTTCTTGAAAGTGAGGAGATGTCCTCCAGTAAAACCCAACAGGGCTACTTATTTAAGTTTAGAAAATGTATTTTGTTTGGAGTTATACTTTCATCTCATTTTCATTTTGAAAATATGTAAGTGGCCACTGATTTTATTCTAATGCAGCGTTGTTTTAAGGGATAACTATGATTTCTGTCTTGCCAGGCAAACTCTATGCAAAAGGGGAGCTGGATTATCATTTCTTGTGCCACTTCCTCTACCTCCTACATCAGTCAAATGGCTAAACTTAGCATCACACTAACAAGATCAGCCATTAGAGCCACAGAAGTCACAAAAAGAGGCTCAACAAGATGGTTTGCTTACTCTGTATCATTACACACAAAACCAAAATGGCTAGGACAGAAGAGTTTGATTCTAGGTGTATAGCAGCTGCTTTCTCTGGTCTATTCTAAAGATCTCAAACCCAACAATCAGCAAGTAACTGCTGTTACTGCACATTCACTTGCTGGCCAATTAGAGGACAAACATTGTTGTGGGGTTGCATCAGTAAGACATAGCTAGATTCCACTGCTCTTAATTCTGTGCAAGACGTCTGCCCATGTATGCATGTCCGTAGTAATGAGTTCTAGTCATTATACAGTTTTGACAAAAAATGGCAAGATAAATATCTGTTCATTCTCATACTTTGTGTTAATAAATGGTTTCTTCCAAAAGACCCAATATGGTTAAACAAAGTATACACTATGTCACTGCCAATAAATCCCACAAACTGTATTCTCCACATATGTATAACTGAGTATGTATAAATTTTAAAATTAGTATGGAAACTAGATCTTCACTATTACAACAATCCTCAAACATCCGCTAAGTACGATATTGTGGTATTAAATTTCTAAATTGGAAAACCACAGATTTTATGTAGGATGTAGTGTTGGATGAGCATTCAGAGTTCTGCTCTTGTAGCATGCAATTCCTGTAATTTGGTCATAAAAGTGATATTCCTGAAGACAACCCAGCATTATGGGATTGTGTGCATTCTATGGCGTATTTACACTATATTTAAAGTTTTCCATTTTCAAAAACGAATGGAAACCACCAAAGCTGTAGAGTTCTGCCATAAATTAGGTATTTTGTGAATTGAAAAAAAAAATTGGAAACAGATCTCTGCTTATTTTTTAAGTTTCCTAAAAAAAAGTAAAAGTTTCTATGGTGCATCTGACAACAATTCTAGGTATTTTTTGATTGGTAAATTGCAATGCTTAAGACAGTCAACTGCAAAACTATAAAGTGTTCTCTATAAAATGTTCATGGAAACAGCTGTGCTAACCTGTCAGATGTTGCACTATTAGTACAGACCTCAATAAGAACTGACCTTTAGTTGACTGATAGCTTACATTACGATTGTAATCGCCTCAAGCACATTCAATCTCCAATGTGGTTGTTCTCCAGGGTCCCTCAGCAAAATGGAAGCCAGTCCTTTTGGTATACATAAACTGACTTTTTACCTTTTGACCTAGTCTTCTTAGAGATTAAGGTTCTAGTGTTTTTTTGGTTATTGACTTGTAAGGCAGGAGAGCTGAGAAGGTTCTTGTGGTATTTTCTCCTTTAGTCAGTCAATTACTACATCTAGTGGTATTTGCACTTACTCTGCTTTCAGCAGGTTAGCGTCTTCAGAAGCCTCCAAATCGGGGAGACTCCTGCACTGTATATTCTCCTAAGGTAAAAGCCCAGGAGAACTCAAAACAGCTACCAACACATCCTTCTAGGAAAGTCCATGTGGCAAAAATCGTGCTAAATATTTAACAACTCCCTAGCACACATCACCAGTCCACCAAATCCTGGTGAGTGACTGCATTGTTAAATTTTCATAATACAAACTGTTGCTTTTTCAGCACAGCCTGCTGGAACTTGCTAGGCAGCATTTGGAAAAGCAAATAGCACGTTGTGTCTCTTTGGTGCGCATTTCCAGCCTCACACCTACAGATTCCTCAAACATTTAAAAAAAGGGATTTAGAAAAATACTAAATCCTTATACAAGCTAGCTGTAAGCAGGTATATTTGCAGGTGGGAGAAGAAACATCTTCTGAATGCTTTTCCCTACCTGGGTAGTGAGAGTAGGATTTGGTGTCAATTTGGAACTACAATAGATTAAAATTTCATATAGTTATAGATAAAGTTAAAGTTTCACCTTTCACTAATTTGTCTCTCTAGCCTGGTCCCTTTATACATTTCTACTAGTTTCATACTCTTGCCCTCAGGAGCTCTCCCGAATCTTGTCTTTTCTCTGGAATTCTCTCCCATTTAAAATGTGGCTCTTGTATGTCCTATTTCAGTTTTGGCCAAAAAAATAACATCTTTCCAAAGAAGTCAAAATGTGCTTCACTTGGCCATAGGTGCACTCTCCTCTCAACAGCATACCCTACCATTTTTCCCTTCCTAGCTGTTTTTTTTTCCTGCTCTCCTTTTTCTCTTCTTCTATTTCCACTCAATTCTTTTCCTCTAGTCTCCATGGAAAATACGTGCCCATATATGCCCATCTGGTTGTTCAGCCTACATGCTGAAGTATATCCGGCATTCTTCCTGTTCAGACCTCAATGTTAGCTAATGGGTGCATTCTGAGTTGGATGCCAGGTTTCAAGTTCTGATAATGGGATGTTCTTCACATACTACCTCAACATCTGAGAAGATGTTAAATTGTGTTCCCAACTTATTCAGATGTTTCGTTGCTTGTTGTCTTACAGCTTACGGATAGATGTAATGTCTCTAGTCTGATAGGCACTCACTGTTTTTCCTTTGTATTTTTCATCATACAAGTAGCTCTATGATTATGCACATTCTCATGTACGAATGAACTGAAGAGCAATTTATATCTCTCTGGATTGTTCTGAATTACTAAGGTGTATAATCAGTCTGTCATTTCTCTTTGCAAAATAAAAAATAAAGAATTTATTTTAAAAATGTTTTTCACTCAGCTTAAAAATGGTAGTTGGCATAGTTATGTTGTATATAGGTTTTAAAATGTATTTCACGTTTGCAGTTAAGGTTGAGGAAAACCAGCTATATGTTTGTTAGGTGTTCCCATTCATACAGCACACCTAATTATTTTGTTATATTTCTTACCTTTTAGATGCTTTTTAGCAGAGGGTGTCATAGCTAACTGCAAGCATTTATGCAACAAATTCAGTGATCTGTCCCAATAGAAGATCCTAGGACAGGCTTAGTTTCATTTCATTAACAATCAATGCAAGAAACCCAGCTTCTAAATATTTAACCCTTTGCTAGGACAGACAGTGCTCAAATCTAGTGTACAACTGATAATAAAACTCTGCTAGCACAGTAGACAGAGTTAATTATGGCAAACACATCTTCATAGCCCCTGTCCCCATAAATAAATACAACTAAGTAGGATTGTTTTAGTGCTGGAGTTTCAAGAAAAGAGCATATAAAATGGTAAGTGGCGATTTTTTTTTAAATATTGTTATGCTATGTGAATGAGAACATGAAACAAATGAAATATAAAGTAGGTGTTATCCCAATTTGCCTACAAAAGTGGAAATATACTTTAAAGTCAATATATTGGTGTCAAGGCCTCTTCTCCCATATTCTCATAATTTAAAAAATACATTTCAGCCATAACTTTACCAAAAAAAAATTGCCTATGCAGGTAGCAGGTGTCTGTGGATAAAAAGAAGCTGTACAGCTCTGACTAAAGTTAAATAATGTCCTTGCTATACTGTAGGTGTAGGCCGGGCATTAGCTCTCCTATTGAGTAGTTCAGTGTTTTTCCCAGACATTGCTGTACTGCACCAGTCCAGCCCTTTTTTCTATAATACTGTGACACTGGAAGACACCGTCAAGTAATGCTGGTTCACCCTTCTTGTTGCCTTGTCATCACACATAGAAAATTGTTAATATTTGAAAATTTCTCATATTCATCCATCTGCTTCAAACCTGCCTTGGAAAGAACATTATACAACACAGACTTCAAGAAGTACCTTCGTACTCACTCACAAAGGAGCTGTGGGTTATTCCAGAGGTGATTAAATGGGATTCAGAAAAAGGTAAAATGAGTGGCCTTTATAACTCTATCGCAGAGTCTACTATACATTGAGTCTATACTATAAATTACTATGTCAGCTATTCATACCACAGTTGTTTTATATTTGTTTTAATATCAGCCTTTGTTTTATACTGCTCTATGTTCATGAGTTGTTTCCTTTCAGAACCTTGTGAAAGCCACTCAGAAAAACCAGGGAAGATAAAGCACAGACAAGAATAAAAATTCCAGCAAGAGACTTGGATTATGAAGATTTGAGAGCAGAAATTGCAGCTCTTTTGCAGCAGGTGAATCAGTTTTCGTACACAAATGAATTCAGTTTTGACTCATGTGCCCTACGAAACTGATCTAGAGCATTCCTACACTTTGCAAAATAATTTATTTACTCTCTCTGTATCAATGATTTGCATTAAAAAATGATAAACGCTAAAATATTGCCAAGATTTTTAGACCTATGAAACCTCATCAGATGTTAAGCTTTTTTAGGTATGCATTATATATGTTTATTAATGTATGTGAGCATACTGTTTATGGAAAGAAATCATCTGTTGTGCAAGGGTGTACTCAGAAATAGCCATCCTAAGGAATATGGAAAAAAAGTAATATTTAACAGCAAACAGAATAATTTTCTAAAATAAAGGTGTAAAAAGCTAAAATTTAGTTTTGTACAAGAATCCTTAGAAAAATAACATTTAGCTTTCAGAATGGAAAATTACTGATGTCATAAAATGCCCCTTTGTGCTAAACGGCCCTCACCATTAT